CAGGAAGGGCTTTTCTGTCGAGTTCCGTGGATTTTCTCTGTGGGGGTTGTCTCTGTTGGTTGTGAGGGACAGAGGCACAGTGGGGTGATGTTGGGGGATCTGGGCGGGTAGAGGGTTTGTAGGAATTGCATGGAGAGCTGGGGTGGTGGGAGAGAGCTGCGCAGGGTGGGCCTGGAGAGGGGAGAGAAGGGCTTCCTACATCCCTCCCCGGGAGAACGCCCAGGTTCAACCTTTGCCTTCATCAAAGGTGCTAAAAAGAGACTTTTGTTTTAAAGATGAGTAATATATTTTGCACTTGTAGTGATACAACACTTGGGGCAATAAAGCTCAGCTGTATACCAGGGTTTCAGAGCTGACTTTGGTAACATTGCATCTGTTACAGGCTGCAGCGTGTTTTGGTAATGAGGATTGGGACCAAGTTCTTCAGGTTCTGTCAAAATGATGCTCCGCAGTTTCTCTGCTGCTAAGTCTTGGTTGTGTAGCAGGGGCTGTGTTTAGTGGGTGGGAGCGGGAATGCCAAGGAGTCTTATGTTTAAGACTGCTTTAAAAAAAAGGATGGTGGAATTTGTTTTTCATTGTTGCTCTTTCATATCTTTTGTGTTTAAAGTCTGTCTTCTCTCAGCTGCGGCTCTCTCCAGGCCTGCGTAAGGTGCTGTTTGCTACAGCTCTTGGGACAGTTGCGTTGGCTCTTGCAGCTCATCAGCTGAAGCGTCGTCGTCGTCGAAAGAAGCAGATCGCTCCCGAGAAGTGTGACTTTAAGCCTGGAGGGATCACAGTGCCCATCCTGACAAGCAGAAGGGTCTCATCCGTGAAGAAAGGTTGGTGTTGCAAAAAGGGAAAAATCTCCAAAAGCTTTTTGTGAGGGAGCAAAGAGTGTACAAGGAGAGATGGGAAGTTCCTGACAGCTGGGGGGAGAGGAAACCAAAGCTATTTGTGTAGTGCATCCATGCAGAATGAAATCGGAGGCCTGAAGCAGAGTGCCATGAACACAGGGTTAACGGAGGAAAGGGAAAGACCCTGAGCTTAAAGCCCTTGCGAGGAAAAAGTAAATACTGGGGTATTCACCAAGGTTTGCAGTTCCCATCCCCCTTCCTACAGAAAGACTGTGGACCCGTTACACTGTGCTTCCCCCATAATAACAGCCTGGGGCACATGGTGACCTCGTTGTATATTGATCTCAGTGATGCCAGTATGATGCCTGACCCAGGGGTCCTGCGTGCGGTCACATCAGTGAGGTTGGGTGGTGGAGGGGAGGGTGGCCTGGGCCAGGCTGGGGAGTCGGAGTGTCCATCCAGCTCTACGGCAGCTCCCGGACCTTGAGCAGCTTCTTCACCTGGTTCTGTTCATTTTTGGGGTAAGACTGACCCAGGACCTCAGCAGAGCGCTTTAGGGCTTAAGCATTTGTTCTGTGAAACACATTAAAATCTCTAAGTGTTTTTAATAATAACTAAGGGAGCAGTGTCTGTCCTCTGCCTGACCTGAGGGAAGTTGGAGGAGTTTCTTCTTGATGCTTGCTACTTGTGCTTGCCTGCTGCCATCCATAAGTGGTGTATAATATTAGTTCAGCCTCAGATCCTCACTGATACCAGCTTTCTTAGTGTCGCAGAGCAAAATAGAGCATACGGGAGACCAGTGACTCATTTATAGGTATTGGATGCTGCTTTCCCCATCTGCAGTCACACTTGACAGGGTGAAGTTCCTCCACTCTTCACAGCTGCAGTGAACCGGGCCTGAAAACCTGTTTTTGTGTGACCTTTGTGTACCCTATCTTGCAGGATACTCCAGCAAGAGAGTCCAGAGTCCTGGCAGCAAGAGCAATGACACGCTTAGCGGGATTTCCTCCATCGAGCCCAGCAAACATTCCAGTTCCTCCCACAGCCTCGGCTCGGTAAGGACCTTCTCTGCTGGGCTGGGAGAAGCAGGGCTGGAAGATGTGAGTGCACCCACCTGTAACGAGATCACCAAGTCCCTGGGCTTGTGCTGGTCTGTTGGTAGTGCCAAAGCTTTCAGAGCAGAGCAGGTTACGGTGTAATTGTAGGGCGGGTTCTGAAATTAACCTCGCAGTGACTGGAGTTGTGTGCATGAAATTGGAGCAGCATTTTCCTGTGGCCCAGAGCCCTGGGGTAAATCCCACTTTGGCCAACGAGGGGCTGCAGGACTTGTGTGTGGGATGTGGCTGTGATTCCTTGGGGCTCTCTGTGCCCCCCTCAAGGCTGGGTTGTTGCTGGGTCTTGCAACATTGGGGAGCTTGTTTGCTTCCCTCCGTACTGGAGGCTTGGGTGGCTCAGCGGCTCCTGTGCTGGGGCTGCTCACAGGTTGCTTACTTGTTAAAACTAAGTTCACTACCAAAACGTGATAGCTCTGATGGGGAAACAGTGCAGGTTGAGAACACAGCCTGGTTGTTCTACCTTCTCCAAAGCCAAAAGCAGCCTATAAATGTAGGTGATTCCGGCTTGACCAGGTAGGAGAAGCCATCACAGCTTATATCCACCTCTTGTGAGACCAAACGCCAAAGCGCTGGAGAGCGTTTGTGGCTTCAAGACCTGTTTTACACCCCCATTGCACAAAGCCTTGCACGCTGCTGTTGGAGCAGTGGGTGGCACAAGCAAACCTCTGCAGCTTTGTGCACAGTGACTTACTGCAAAACACCCCCTCGGCATCCACCTGCCTGGGCTCGGCGGCTGGTTAGCAATGCTGGGGCAAGAAGAGGGAAAAATCACCCCTTCGAAGGGAGCTGTTGGCCACCAGCACCCTACAGTGTCTGCAGGCATCACTGTATTTTAGCTTGTCCTGTACAGTTAAAGCACCTTAAAGTTGACAAAAATCTGTGCTGGCCAAAGCATGTCTCCAGCAGGCGGCAGTGCCGGCACGGCGCTGGGCGTGCAGCCCTGCACCAGTATTCCCTGGGGTAACTGGGATATGATGGGACGTGTCAGTGTGGACTGAACTATGTCCAGCTCTGGCCTCCCTGCCTCTGCAGGGACTCCTACGTCCATTTAATTCCCCTGTGGCTTCTCCCTTCCCACAGATGCTGTCTGGGCTATGTATTGCTGAAGTCTGTTTCTCTTTAGATTTAAAAAAAAAAAACCAAACCTAAATTCCTTTTTCCACTGCTGGTGTATGGGTGGGGGTATCCACACGGAGAGGGATCTGTTCCCGTACCTCCTTTGTTGTGTGGGAGCTGAGCGTCTGTGACACCGTTCTCTGCACTTTGATGTTACTTGATGGGAAAACAGCTCATCCTTTGCGCAGCTGCAGCTTCTGGCTGCTCTCTCATCTGCTCCTGGGACTCTCCTTTGCCATCTAGTAAATAAGTCAGCAGCAGTGAACTGATGATTTGCAGTTCTGGATCTCAAGGTGATTTATTAACACTCCACACAGATTAATCAACAGAGGCAGGGCAAGAACTCATCTGTCAGATGATTCTTGTAGTGTTTTTTCTAGCATCAGTCTCACATTTGGACATCTTTCTTTAAGCCGTGTGAAAACACTGGTCATTGTTAGAACCCAGCACTTTAAAAGACATTTATGCACTGGTGTGAAATTGGAGAAAGATGGCAATTTGCTATGTGGATCTTAGAGAATTCAAAAGCCTTTTGCTGTTTTCTGCTGCTTTCCTGCAGATGGTAGCAGTCAACTCTTCGAGTCCAATACCAGGATCTGCAGGGATGTGGGACGCCCAGGCAATGGGGGATGCTGGAGCTCTTGGTGATTCCAGTGCAGAGAGCCTCTACATTCAGGGTAAACAAACACAAGGGTAACATTGCCCTGGAGGGGTTGGTAATCACTGTGAGAGCAAAAAGAGGGTGTAAATTGACATAGAGTGTCAGCAGCTCAGTGTAGAGTTCTCATAGGAAGCTCTCTCACATTCTCGATTTAAACTCAGTCACTTTTTAGATTTAAAAACCTATCTTCTCCTAAAAAAACCATATTTCTCTGTTAGTGAATTATTTAATTCTAAAATGCTGCTCTTTGAGCAAGAGGCTCACCTTGTGTGGAGAACAGTATTTTGGAAGTAACATGGCCAATGTTGTAACCAGTTTGGGGATGTTCTCCTTAACTTCTAATCCCAATTAAGCCATATTTAAAAGGGAAAGAAATAGAGTACATTATTCTTTCTTATCAGTTTGGGGAGGCTTCTCTCTTCACTGGATTGTTTGAGTGAGCAAATACTCATGCTATACTGCTTTGTTCCCACATGGCCTGGGACTCTTACAGCCTGTCTCTGGTTGTGTTGCCAGGCATGGAGCTGTTTGAGGAAGCTCTGCAGAAGTGGGAGCAGGCGCTGACCATCAGACAGAGGGACAGTGCTAGTACCAGCACGCCCATACCCTGGGACAGCAAGAAACAGCAAGAGAGCATATCTGAGAACATCCCAGAGGTAGGTCCCCGCTTTTTCCTTGCAGTTGCCAGTTGGGGAACATGCTGAAAGACCAGCCTGGGTGCTGGAAGCAGTAATTAGGAGGTTAAAAGAAGAGCAAATTAAGGGCAGAGTTGGGCCAGACTCTGTTTAAGAGCTGTCTGTACCTGCAGCTTCCTTATGCAATGAGAGTGGGTGTTTTTAATTTCTTTTTCTTTCTAATAAGTCTCACCCCCTCATTCCCCAGCTCTTCTACCTACCTTCCAGCATCGTGTCAGTCACCGTCATGCAAGTCCTCCAGCAGCAGAGGCTGCGGTAGGAAAAGGCTGTAACAAATACAACAGCGGAGAAGAAGAAATAGCTTTTTGCCTGGCAGGGTTGTGTCTAACTTCTTAATGCATTTGAAAGTGGAGATCTTGGTGGTCACTGTCACTTCCTAGGAAGCTGGGTGGGGAAGCAGAGGCCAGCTGCCTGCATGTCCTAATGAGTGAAGTGAAGTGGTAACTCGGTAGGAGCTAAGTATGCCCCTGCTCACTGAGGAAGTGGGTCAGGGAGATGTGTAACTCCTTCTGCCTACAGCTATGGAAACAAGGGGTTTAGGACAATGCCCTGTTGTCTTGGGCTTGAGGGCAGTGCAGGGAAGACCTCTGATAAGAGGAGATCCAAACTAGAAATGCTCAGTGACAATCACGAAGCTAAAGAGAGCAGCTGTAGCTCAGGACTGTGCAAGGAGCTAAACTCCCAACTCTCCAGGAGTTCTCGCTGGAAAAAAAAGTGTTCCCAGGCTGTTATAAACAGGGCCTGGTGTAGTAAGAATGTGGCATATTTGTCTTTTGTGGTGGATAATGTTTATCCAAGTCAACTCTGGATTCTCTTGTTGTTGTCTCTCCTTGAAGAATTTCTAAAACTGACTTAAAAACAGTTGATTCATTATCAAAATAGATTTTGTGCTTCTTGTTAATGCTTCTGTCTTCTGGGTGAGATATTCATGCAGACATAGGGGCATGAAGGCAAGATGCTGTGTAAGTCTTATTTTTTCCCCCCCTGTTTTTTTCTATCCTCCTGTGCTGCTTACAGCAAACTTTGCTTATGCCCAGCACCTTAATCCAAGGGCTCTTACTCTGTTATCCAGTTCTGGATACTCTGTTGTATTCAACACAGGTTTTTGGATGTGATTCCCCCTTGAAATTAGGCTAAAGTCACAAATCAGGAGAATTAAGTGATCTGTAACTCATTAAAATACCTGTTTTTCTGGATGGCAGCTTAAAGTTCTTATTTTTTTTGTTCCTTTTCTAATGGGAAACCAACATTGTAAAGCTAAAAAGCCAGAGGCTGCGTAGAAGCTTTCCTCCCCTTGTGTTATTAGCTGCATTGTAGGATTAATGAGCTCTCTCTTCTTTTTTTTTTTTTTAATCATTTAATCTGCGAACTGTAAATCCCATTTTACTGAAAATTTCCTTCCATATTTGTGCTGTCAATCTGTCTTTGCCCAGCTGGCTAACTAAGGGTGGCATTTCTGTATGTTCAAGGAGGAGTCCCAGAAAAGGGAGTTTGCCGAGAAGCTGGAGTCCCTCTTGCACCGAGCTTACCACCTCCAGGAAGAGTTTGGGTCTTCGCTTCCATCTGACAGCATGCTGCTGGATCTGGGTATGTGAGCTGGGTTAGAAATGTATTAAAATGCCAGTTTCCTGGCTGGTTTTATGTCTTTTCTGTAAGCTAGGCCATGAAGGAGTGACAAAGTGCTGTTTGTGGGGGAGGGAGAGTGCGAGCACAGGAGCTAAGAGGAATTCTAGTCCATGAACTCCAACACATGCAGCTTCTTCTTCTCTTCCAGAGAAGACCTTAATGCTTCCATTGACGGATGGGTCATTGCGGCTTCGGACGGATGATGAAGACAGCTCAATTTCTGAGGACTCTTTCTTCTCTGCAGCAGAGGTGACTTAAGTTTCAGCTGTGTGTAGCAGTCTAGCTGCTTGGAGGGGAGCCACAAAGGCGGTGAAGCCAAACACGTCTTGGTAGAGGATGATAAACCATGGAGCAACAACAACAGCCCTAAGCTGGGAGGTTAATGATGGATGTGAGGAAAAGCTTTTTCACTGGGGGCATGGTGCAGCCCTTTCCAACCAGCATTTCCATGTCATATTCCTATCTACTGTAGAAAATATACTATAAAAGCTAGGAAAGTGCTGTAAATCTAATGTAACGTGGCTTGGTTCTGTAAATTTTAGGGGATATCAAGCTGTGATGGCTTAGAAACTGGTGGGAAAAGAAATATCTTTGCATGAAATAATTGGAATTGACAAAAGTTTGCCAGCTGAAGAAGGCACATCATGCTTGTGTGCAGTCTCTGAGTATTTGCAAATATTTAACGAGATCATTTTGTTCTTCCCATGCCTCTTGCCACTTCTACAGCTATTTGACTCTCTCCACTTTGAGGAAATACCATTCCACCTCTCTAAGCCAGTAGCGGCATATGAAGAAGCTCTGCAGTTAGTGAAAGAAGGGAAAGTTGCGTGCCGGACGCTGAGGTGAAGTGCCAGCTAGAGTTGTGGGTCCTTGTGTCGAGGCTCCTTTGAGCAGTGTGAACACATTATTTGCCTTTGAGCATCCCTACAGCCAGAATAACCCTTTGGGGATGGAAACTCTTGGCATCCTTCCTGCTGGTTTGGACTTCCCAGGGAACTAGCCCTAGATTTTAGGTGACATGTTAAGAAAGGGTAATTGTCCCAGGAAGTTAGCAGTGAGAAATGTGCCCCTTCTGTGTGGCTGGCTGGCATGGTCCCCTGCTGTCACAGCCTTTGCAGAGGTGCTGTGGTTCCCCAGGGAGCTGTGCAATGGGAATGCAGTTGTTATTTTCTCCTAGGCACAGACTGGGAATTATTTTTTTTAGGGGAGCACAGTTGTTAGCAACATGGACATCAGGAGAGCTGAAATTTATGCATTCCTTCCCCTTTGCCTCTAGGACAGAGCTCCTTGGCTGCTACAGCGACCAGGATTTCCTTGCGAAGCTGCACTGTGTCAGGCAGGCCTTCCAGGTGAGAACGGCTCAAGGCTCCCAGGTTCCCACAGCACGTTGCTGCCAGCAGCGTGTTCTCCTCTGTTTGCGCAGGGGTGAAGTCTTTGCCCCTCTAGACCAAGGAAAAGCAGAATCAGCAGCAGCCCAAGCTCCCCTTGCTTAACTGTAATCCCGTCCTGATCGATTTGATTTGGAGAGGGAGAGGATCCCCTGGTCCCCGTGCCCAGATGAAGTGGGGGTTACATGGCCACTGACACTGGTTTAGTTCTGGGAAATGGAAGTTTGGTAATTTCAGAGCTGCCCAGGAGCCACTAATCCCACTTAGAGCTTTTCACTCGGCTGGAGTCAATCCTCTGAAGTCGGGGAGCGAGGTTTCCTTCTCCTTACTGCGATCTGCATCCTAGCAATGTATGTCTAGAGCCTGGGCAGCAGCCTTTGTGCCCTGGCCGCACTGCCAGGCCGTGGGTCCTGTGCCTCTGTTCTTGCCTCTTCCAGTCTTTCAGCCTAATTTTAAACTCGCTTCCTGGAGAGAGCAGTTTTATTTTCTAGGCTTATTAAAGGTTAATGATACTGGTGCATGCAGCATTGCACTGCTTTGTGTCATGTCCTTTTTTCTCCCAAATCAGAACTCGTGGGTATAGGCGTTCACAGGAGACTTGTGTTCCCTTTGCAGGAGCTGCTGGAGGATGAAAGCAATCAACTGTTTTTTGGGGAGGTTGGGAAGCAAATGGTGATAGGACTGATGACAAAAGCTGAAAAGGTAGGAAGTTTGTATAACAACTCAGCAATGTCTTGTGAGCACAGGGATGCTTGTTCCTCTATCCCAGTCTGCAGTTTTTCCAGTGTCTTGGAAGGAGAAAACTTCATCTGTATGCTGGTGACTGTTGTGAGAAATCAAATGCCTGTGCTTTTAATCTTGTTTAATCAAATTCTGTTGAAAGAACCTCTCTGTGCAGCTCCTTTCTGCACTTTGATACTGTACCTCTCTGGGGTGAACAGAGGGTATAGGCTGTGCATCAGTGATGGCATCATCTCAAGAAATATAGGAAAGGGAAAAGAGAATCAAACCTTTACATCAACCACATACCAGCTCTCAGATCTGGCTTAGTCGCTGCTCATCCTCTAAACAGGGAGATCATCACTTGTGCTGCATTAGTCCCTTGCTGGCTCGGTTTGCTTACAGGTGTCTCAAGCTACTTCCTGAAGAAGGTGGAGCAATGAAGGTGCTTTGAGTCACAGCTGAACCCAAGGCCATCCGTGCCTCCCAGAAATACATTCTCTTTCTGCAAAAAGAATGTTTTGTCTAAAAGCTTCATCCAGTTTCATGCATTGATGTTGATGTTAGCTCAAAATAGAGGAGTCAAACTTTGAAATGTGTCCACAACTGTTTTACCTTCTGAAGTGTTTTGTTTCTCTGCTCTCCCAGAATCCCAAAGCTTTTCTGGAAAGCTACGAGGAGATGCTACATTATGCACTGAAGCCAGAGACGTGGCCAACTACTCAGCAGGAGCTGGAGGGAAGAGGGGTTGGTAAAGATGTTCTCTCTAGAAGGTTGCAGAGAAGTTGGAGGATAATGGATGTGCAGGAATGGCCCAGGAGTGGAAGAACTGCTGCTGCAATACAGTTATTTTTCAGTTGTACATTGTTAGGGAAGGCAGGGGGTAAACTAGCTGTTGGGGTGTTTAAACTTCATGGCAAATCTTGCCTTCAGCAACGTCAGCACTGCTGTGGTTAAAAAAAAACCAAGCCCCAAATGCCAACTCAAAATTCAGAATCCCAACTTTTTCTAGAGGGCACAAGCTACTGTCTGGAGGTCTGTACGATTTGTTTGCCTTTTGACTGGGCTTTTCCTGGACACAGGATTAATAAGTCTCTGGGCCAGGCCCTCTCTGGGATCTGTGAACAGAGTGTACACAGTTCAGTCCTCCTGCCTCGGTGGCAAACTTCAGCTCATTAGGTTTTGTTGCTTCAAGGAAAAGAGTAAAGTCCATCTCCTTTTTTGAAACCCGTTTCCTTTACAGACTGTTCTGCTCTCTGACAGGTGGTCTGCATGAGCTTCTTTGATATTGTGCTGGACTTCATCCTCATGGATGCTTTTGAGGATCTGGAGAACCCGCCCTCCTCCGTGCTGGCTGTGCTGCGTAACCGATGGCTCTCCGACAGCTTCAAGGAGACGGTGCGTCATGCGGGTGGTCCCTGCGCTGAGCAGGAGGTCTCAGTGCCAAGGCTGGGAAAGAATATAACCTCAGCTGGCCTGGCTGAGCTCAATTTTCTCTTTAGAAATCCCATGCTTTCCTGAAGCACTGAACAGCCACTTTCTGGTACATGTAAATTGTTTACAGGAAAGCTTTCCTTATTTTGAAAGCATCTGGTTGGCTCCAATGGACTTCTTTCTCTAGCGGCCTTTGTCAGTGGTGTTGTGGAGATGTTAAAAGATGACAGCACATATTTTCATGAATGAGGATAAGAAGATAAAAATGTAGGGATAAACATGGGTGTGTTTTTGCTCCTGGCTGTTCATTCTGGTGGTACCTCAGCAGAGACTGAGGCTCAAGTGGCAGTGCTTTCCCCTCGTCCTGCCCCCCAGCTGCAGGTTTGAGACTGATTAGTTTCACAGCCTGAGAAGAAGATGGTTGGGAGGCACCTTTTAGCAGCTGTCTGCTTACAGTCTGCATTTTGGGGTGTTTGCCAACTATGTCAGGTCATATTAGCAATTTTTGAGAATACTTTGGCTCTTCTGCAATGGATCTGGAGCGGCCAGATCTGTTTCCAGTTCACTTAGATTTTGTCACTAACTTTAGAGTTGGTGACACAAAAAGGCCTCTGCTTTGGTATTTTGATGGCAATGTGTTGGTAAACTGTTCTTTTCTGAAAAGTAATCCCAATAACTGCTGGTCTCTCTTTGTTAATTGTAGGCGTTAGCAACGGCCTGCTGGTCAGTTCTGAAAGCAAAAAGGAGGCTTCTGATGGTAAGCAAAGTTAATTAAAAGGGAAAGAATCTAATGTATTTGAAGCTGAGAAGATAACGCCTAGATCTTGACAAAATACAAAATCTAAGTGGTGTAAGACTGAGCTGAATCTCATTCTCTGTGATGCTTTAGGGCACTGGGGTCCTGCTGTCATTGCTCTGGTGCCATGCCAGTGTTTCACTGAATCAGTCTGAGTTTATTAGTTTATTCTCCTTTTTTTTCTTAATGTGAGGATTCAAAGGACAATGTTGCCTGTCTGGTATTCCCTCTCCTTGCTCACAATACTGTAGGAATAGTCACAAACACCAAGCGACAAGGGGCTGCTCCTGAACTGCAGCGTCCCTGCTGGCAGCACAATGAATGCCTCGTGTGCTTCTCCGCTTCCCAGCGCTGACTGGTGACTCAGTATTACTTGATGCATTTCCCTCAAATCTGTGGCTTTCTAGAGTGTCACAGCAGATTAGTTCATGGACCTGGGGAACAGGAAGCCACAACTTCACAACCTCAGTTCTGCCACAGGCTCTGTGGCCTCTGGCAAGTTTTCAGCTCCTGTCCCACAACCAGCTGGTACAAGTGGGTTTTCCTCGTGAGATGGTACAAAGAGAAGTGAGAGCGTTGGAAGCGGTATTGGTGCTGTCATGCAGTAGCTCTGTCTTAGATATTTCCTGCCCTTTCCTGGCTTGGTCCAGATATTATCGAGTCTATAAATACTGCTTGAAGGTTGCCTTTCATTTTCTTCTATTTATTTTCCTCCTGAAATAGTAGTTTTAGAAGGATGAAGATAGAAAGCTCTAGTCATCCTTTAAGGGATCTGAAAGATAAATGTAATGCTGCAGGAAGAGATGTTCTTAAGTAGCTCTTAACTTGTTACTGAAGCACAGTGCTTGCTGTCATGCAATTTGTTAGCTGATATGGAATAAGCTGTTAATTCTGTCTGAGGACCAAGACCAACCAATTCTTCCCTTCCCTGTGGCAGGTACCAGATGGCTTTATCTCTCATTTCTACTCCGTATCGGAGCATGTCAGTCCTGTTCTAGCCTTTGGTTTTCTGGGGCCCAAGCAGCAGCTATCTGAAGTCTGCGGTTTCTTCAAGGTAAGAAGTTTTTTTGTACCTAATCTGTGTGAGACTCCTGCTGCCTTCTGGCTTGAAGGTGCAGATGTGTGCTTTTGATGACTGATGGGGCATTAAGGAACTTGGTTCTGTACAAAAGCCTTCTAAAGATCACTGTTTTTTGAGATGCAGATTGCTGAATCTGGATTGGTAAGAATTCCCAACACAATTTACCATAGCTGATAGCAAAAATGTGTGATGAGATCAGTTAATACTGTCAGTAGTGGAAAAGATTATGGGTTCATATGCTGAAATTATATGTTGTCGGATCTTACGTGTTACGTATTTGATCTTAAAGCCTAAATCTGCTTGTTCTTGTAGATAATGTCATGACAGGCTGCGTTGCATTCATTAAATGTTTGCATGGGTATTGCCGCGGACATCAGCATTGCCTTCCTGGCTTCAGGAGCTCTGCTGTCCTGTTTCAGAGGCAGGGGGTTAGCCACAAAAGCAATACCCAGCCTGAAGCAGATCTTCATTCAGGTGGCAGATGTGCAACATTCCTTACGGGGTTTTCTACTTGCTGTCGTCCAGGCAGCTGCTGATGGCAGGTGGGAGGAAGCCTTCTTACTGTAAACCTTCCTTTTGTCTTTGCAGCATCAGATAGTACAATATCTGAAGGACATGTTTGATTTTGACAATGTGAGATACACAACAGTGCATTCGCTGGCAGAAGACATTTTGCAGCTGTCACGGCGGCGCAGTGAGATCCTCTTGGGATATCTGGGCACTGAGACTTCTCCCGAGATGAACGGCACGCTTCCTGGCGAAAATGAGCCACTGAAGGAGCTCATCTGATGTCAGTCAGGGGAGGAAAACAGTTTTGTACAAGGACCTTTTTCCTCCCAGAGATGGATAAAACTACCTGCAATGCTCAGTGTTGGCAGCAAGACTATCTCAACACACAGCAACCTGGTGGGACCTTCTGCTTTTTGTAGCCAGTAGTGTTTGCTGGGATGGATCCAGGACCACTTGCCAGCTTATGGTTTGAATTTCTTCTTTGTTCCACCTTCCTGTTTTTATTATTTTTAATGTGTCATATAAACCACAAACTGCCTGGGCCCAGATTTTTGCCCAATTCTCTTGAATAGGGCAACATATGTACCCATTTTGCCTGTGCGTTTTCTGGGAGATGATCCCTGACGTTTATGATTGTGTGTGGGAGCAGGAACATCATTCGTAAATTCTCCACTTGACCCTTAGCTTCTCAAGGAGGCTTTGTTTGCTTTGGGATTTTTATTATCGTTCTTCTCTGCTGTGTTTCTACAGACATTACTGCTGATTTTTACCTTGGGTGTTTTAACACATGCAATGTGACTAGCAAAGATTTCTTTCCCAGAGGGGAAGAAATACTTCTGTAAAGCACTGAAGTGAAATGCAAACTTCTGTAACCAGTCTGGAGCTCTAAGGAAGTTGGTCTGTTCCCTCTGTGTTGGTGCTCTTTGCAGGCCAGATGGCGGGCTCTGTGCCGTGGTCATCCCTGCTTAGGAGATTGCTGAGGTCTAAGTTTGCCCCTAAGGCAAGCTAGTGTGAGGAGAGGTGAATTTGCATCCTGCCTGTGCATGCACAAAGTCTTTAATGTCCATCAAAGTGCCTTGCTGTATTTCAGAATGAGCCAGAAGCAGTTTTCGCTGGGTAGGAGGTGTGGGGTGGAAGAGGGAACGGGTGTAGCGCGGTGCCCGTTCCTGTTACGCACAAGGCGGTAAGAGGTGTAGATGTTGGATGTGATGAACGAAAGGGGTTCTGTGTGCAGGTAGCTGCAGAGCTGGGATCAAGCTGCTAGAGTGGAAAGGACTCTGTATAGTCTGTTGGTCCTGAGGAAGGTAGCTTAGTTTTGCCTATCGATCAAATGCACGTGTGTGTACGTCTTTGTAGTGCTGGGATGGGCTCTTCTCAAACGATGTGATCCTGACTGCACAGCCAGCGCCTGAAATCTGGCTGCTCTGGGACATGTGCTGAGCTGGATGCTCACGTAGGGCAGCAGCATTGGACTTGAGGCAGTCCTGGCTTTGTGTGAGGTTTGCAGTGATTTGCTGAGTCCTCTGAGTGCAGTGCCACAGGTGAAGGTTGAGGGTCCAGCCTGTCATTTTTCCTGTCTCGATCCATGTACAGCTCCAAGTCCGAGCCTCAGGATGAGGTCTTCAGGGAGAAGAAAATGGGGACTTTCACAAAAACACAGACTTCACTGTTTGTTTTGGTTTTTTTCTCCAGGCTGATTAGTTAATCTCTTGTGTCTGTTCCAGGTAAAAGGCATAAGACTTATCTAGCCATATTTTTGCAAGGTTAAAAAAAAAAAAGTAAGAATCTGGAGTTTCCATAGGAGTGGAAAGTCAGCGCACGGGCTTGGAGAATACAAATGTCTTCTTCTTCCTCTTCAGATATCTAATGTGGATTCTGCTGGTAAAAGCAGGAAGGAAGTAAGCAGGGAAAAGTAAACAGGAGGATGTAAAAGGAATAGATAAATGCTCCTGAGATGCTTGCAAGAGGGCAAGTGCAGAGCACATAACATCTGTTGCTCTGTAAGCACATCAGACTGATGTGGCTTATCCTGAAGAAGAGATTAATGCAATAAACAAGCCAGTACAGAGGCAGAAATGAGGAGCAGCTGACCTGCGTGAGGCTTCATGAAATAAACTGTTATGAGAAGGATTTAAGAGAGAGCAATTGAAACTAGGAAAGGTCTCTGAGGTATCTTGCTCCTGGCAGCAGGCAGAGAGAGAAGAAACAGAGGATGTTGTATCAGCATGACACACCTGCTATATGTAAACTGTGATTCAAAAGTATGTTATATTCTGAAAGCAAGTTACTTTGCCAAAAAAAGATGTTTATAGTGCTTTGTGCTCTTGTATGTCTGGTTTAGAAGAAAGAGTGACTTCAGCGGCTTTGTATAGTGGTTAAAAAGGTGCAAAAATGTGAAGATTAATGTAATAAGGGGGATTGTAATTCTAAACAATCAATGCTGTTAATTTCAGATTTTTAGAGTTGTTTTATGTGTATTTATTTACTATTTTAAGTGTCTTTTAGCCTCAGTGCTTGGGGCATCCTACCTGCTTTGTGTATGGACAACACCACTGGCTGCTGACTTTGGTCTTTTCACGTCCTCATGGGCGAGGATACTAAAACAGGGTCCCAATGAAGCAAATGCTAACTTGCACTGCAGTTTTTTAAGCTGAGAAATTGTAGATTCCTAATCAATCAAATGGAAGAAAGTTTATTACAGCTTTATGCTTTTCCTTAGCCCTTACCACAAATAAGGTGCGCTGCCCTCCCAGCAAAGGTAAAGAGGGATCTGCTTGGAGAACATCCACAGCTTCTTGAAAGTTGTGTTCTCCCCCTCCACCTCCCAGCACCAACCTGCTCCTGCACAAGCCGAGGATATCTGCTGAGACAAACTGATTTTCTCTTTACTGGGGAGAATGTTAAACTTTTCTACATGCCTCCCCCGCTTTTCATTGCTGCTCTTTCTCCTTCCCCAGTCCCAGTGTAGCTTGAGAGGAAAGGCAGAAGAAGGGTGTTGGCAGCCTCTGAAGGGTTCAGATTGGGGGGTTCGGTTCAGAGGAGCTGTTCTCGGGGAGGAAGCTCTCCCTGACCGTGGGGTGGTGGGCAGTGACCCGCTCCGTTCAGCTCTTCTGGGCTCTGGCTGCTCCTGCTGATCCCGTCCAGAGTAGGGCTTGGCTGGAATGGGAACCACCTCATGCTCATCTCTTTTGCAGGATGGAGTAAAAGGTTATGATGGAACAACTGCCTGTTCTCTGGCTTCATAAGAGATCCCTAGAAAATCCTTCTTTCCCCAGCATATTGTGTTTAGGAAAGGAAATTCTTCAGTATTAGTAGCAGATGAGACACCTATTTGGGTAGAATCTCTAGAGATAAGATATTTGCCTTTTTTATAATGAACCCTTATTCTCAAGGGGTTAAATCATTCTGGGCTGACACTTGCAAGATTTTAACACTGATGGGGATTTAAAGTGGCTTAGCAGCTATGAAATAAAATCCTTCAATAGTTTCTGATGCTTACACGGAATTTCAAATATGCATGACTTTCAGTTTTTATGTGGAGGTTGTAACAAGCTTCACCAGTGGTTAAAGTATGTACTTGGTACTTCAGTATGTACGTAGAGACTGCACCCAACGGCTCTAGGAGGGTCTTTATGATCTTTAAAGCACAAATACATTAATAAAAAAATATGAGGAAAAATCTGCCTTGTTCTATCTATGAGATCAGTGTGGCTTTGAAGAGCATGACTTGTGCTGTCTCATATGAGGAGGTGGGAAAGCAGGATTTTATTTAGCCCCCTTCAGTAGAACATTCCTCTGCTACATCAGAAACTAATGAATGTAAACTTGTGCCTGTTTTTTCTTGATTTCTTAAAGGTGTAAAAATCTGTTCTTGTTTTGCTTCTTTCTTTTTCTTTGCAGCTTTTTTTTTTTTTTTTAATACCTTCAATCTTAGGATGTGGGCATTACAAGTCAAATAAAATTTTCCTTCATGATTGTGGTTTTTGTTTCTAAATTTCCTGTAGAAACTTGCTAGAAGCTCAAGTCTTTAGGTGACAGTTGTGGTGACACCTCTGGTGCTGGAGTGATGGTATAGAACACAGCTCTTTCTTCCTAGCCAAAATGCTAAATTTACAGCAAGTAAACTTAAGGGATTTGTTTGCATGGGGAATCTTCCAAGCCTGTAGATTAAGCAGCCTATAAAATAAACACAGCAACTCATTGTTCTCTGAGCAGTGGTTGAAAACTGTGGGGTTTGATTTTCCAGATTTTTATTTTTCCACGGTGGTTTGATTGTGTTTGGGTGTGGTGTGGGTAGGCTAGCAGGCTGTGATAAAGTGATAACAGAAATTCCAGGAAGGAGCAGTATCTCTTAAACATTGTCCGAGTTCTTGTAGCATTACTTCTCAGCCTCCCAAACCATGTCAAAGAAAAGAGTGAAGACGGTGGGTTGATAGCAGAGCTGCCCATCTGCTGAGCAATGCAGGAAACTCATCTCATTCTCCTAACGCAGTGACAGTACACTTAAATACTTTCCTTTTCAAATGATATAGAAACCAGATTGAATCAGATAGGCTGCTTGCTTCAGCAGTGATTAAGATTTCATCCATATGCTCAAAAAAAAAAAAAGCGCCTTGGTTAGCATTAATGCAAGCCTGTCATGAACGATGATATATGCAAATAAAATGTTAATGAATAGGAAAATTTTTGTCTCATGCCACACCCTGAAGGTTAGTTGAAAGAGTTAAAAGGAGTTTATCTCTGTTTCCATGGTGTCAGACTGTATACTCATGACATCTCCAGAGCAGCTTTGTGCTTTCTTACGCTGAAGGAACAGAGCAAAGGCTGCTCCGTGTATTGACACTTTCTTCTTATGTTCAGGAAGGAGTGGGTGAATACAGCAATGAAGCCCACAATTTTCAGTACTTGTCATGGTACATAGATCAAATGTAAGCCACTCTGCCAGCATCGCTCTATATTCAATAGCTTGGAAAGGAGGAGATGTATTTAACCTGAATAATGAAAGCAGTAAATCACTCAAGCTACCTCGTAGCAGTCTTCTGCAATGAACTGAACTTCTGCAGTAAATATTTGCTCTTTCTTTCCAAATAATAAGACTTCAATGCTATTTTTCTTCTTGCCATGTCAGGAAGAGTGTCGTCTTTTGAAGAGCCTATTGAAATTAATGGGACATAATCATAATTGCTGTCTGAAAGCAGGTTTATTACAACTGCAGGAAAGAGTTTTCTCCCTGTTCTGAAATCTTACTTTAAGATGAATGTGTTAAAGGATAGAAATCC